GAGGAAGGATCTTTAATGATAAGCTAAAGAAGAATAACGTTGTGAAAAATAGCATTATATATATATAGCCTTGGAGCGGGTAGAATGGAGATTAACGTGTTTTAGTTTTAGTTTCAATCTGCTTGACTGAATCATCAAGAAGCGAGAGCAAGATCTAAAAGGTCAGTCAATTAAACAGTGATCTCATCTCACAATCCTCACACCTGCTCCATATGTGGCCTCCTTTGTAAATCACAAGCGGGTCTTAAATGCCACTCAAGATTATCGCACAAAATTTCATAACTGAATCAATAAGCTGTCAGATCTTCATACATCGAAACCGACAGGAGAGTCCATATATATATATATATATATATATATATATATATATATATATATAATGTGCATTTGGTCAGCAATTTTTCGTTCATACAAGTTTGGTTAAATACAAACGAAAGTAACTTTATTTATTTATTTTGTTTAGTGTTCCTGATTATTTTCTGCGAAAGAAACTAACACCAGGCACTTCTAGAGAAGATTCTTTAATAGGCAAGTTACATGAATAGTCGAATTAAATTAACCCTGCATAGATGAACCTGAAAAATCAAGAAAATAACCAGAAACCTAGAATAAAAAATGAACAAGGAACTTCTTGTGAATGCTGAAATCCTGCTTTTTCTTCATACAAGTTCAGCTCCCAGAACCAGCCGACGTCTACCTCGTGAATACAGAAATCTTTCTGACTATTAGACAAAGCACACTTCTTAAATAGCCACAAATCGACTTCGTATTGAATCGGAAATTTTATACTATTGGGGTGGGGGCTCATAACTTACTTTCTCCATTGGCCAAAAAAAAAAAAAAAAAAAAAATCACAAGATGTAGCTTTTTAAACCACAAACTTTATTTTATTCATCTTGGCGGTTCTTTTACATCAATTTAAGTCTCACATATACAAAGTTTTACACATTAAAATTTATTGAAACCATTTTTAACCGCCTGACTTTTTTTTTAGCAGTTTTTTTTAATTTTTTTTTTTTATTTAAAGAATACGTGTTAGCAACTTCTATTAATAAATGTCTTTTTAAACACTCCCCCCCAAAAAAGAGAGTGTAATAAACAAACTTAGTCTTGTATTATACTTTTTATTTACCTTTCTTTATATAATTTTACATTTCGTCTTTGTTATACATTCACTCAGGATTCGAGTCTAAATGACTAATTGGTAACACTAGGTTTCATGAATTTGTCATTTCCTGGAGTATTTGCCTGTGAATAAAAATAGAATACTAAGCTAAAGACAATAATATGTTTGCATGCATATTTCTCGAGGAGAAAAGACGCGAAAAAGAAAAAAAAAAAAAATGATAACATGCTTCAAGGAACATACTTTTATTTAACCCAATATTTTTTTCTTCCGTTTTCTTTATTTTTATAATATAAAAAGTTAAAATATCATTGTCATAGTTTTTGTATATAATAAAGCGAAAATAAGCATAAAAATACTGTTTTAAATGTATTTTTTTTTTTTTTTTACCCGTTAACTTAAAGGACTAAAGAAACTAAAATTAAAGAAGAGTGAAAACAGAATTTTTTTTTTTTTTTTTTTTTTTAAACCACCACACTCACAAAAGAAAGTACAAGTTGAAGATTGCGGGCTTTTTTCGGTTGTGAATTCACCTCTCATTTTGAATAATAGATAATGCGCATGCAAAAACGACTCGAGACTCCGATGTGAAATTCGAAAAAATAAACATTTATTAAATTAACATAAAAATAAAGAATACAACCCTGTACAAATAAGATTGCGCAAAATTTTCCTAGAGTGCGCCTTATTAGTAAGGCCAGAACCTGTTCACAAAATAGAAATATGGCTCATAGAAAAAGATTATTCAACAAACTTTCAGTGATCGTAAAATCTTGAGCAGGTACAATACAAATAACTCTTAAAAAGACACACACACACACATATATATATATATATATATATATATATATATATATATATCCGTACTTAATTGAAAGTTGAAATTGAGAAGGCGTTGGCAGGGTTTACCAGAGATACTGAAACTTCAACAACTTAACAATTCGAATCCTTTCACTTTTGTTGTGCTTCAGCTTATCGTTTTAGTTTGTTTCCGATTTCTTCTGTAAGTAACAGAAGATCTAATTCACTGATGACAACCAAAATAACTATGATATCTTAATTCGTAACATCTTTTGTTTTCGAAATTTTTATACCTGTTGTTTTCTTGTGCCTTTTCGTACCTTCCAAAATTTACTGCTAACTCGTTTTGTATAGCCCCCAACTCTTACATTTACGTGGGTGGAAGTCATCCTTCTGACTGGTCAAGATATCCAAAAAAAGTGTATATCTTTTTCACATATCTTAAACCGCCCGCCTTGACCGACTTATTTTCGATGGGGGTCTTTTCGAGCCATTCTATTTTTAGAAAATAGAACGAAAAATGTTTCTCAAATTAGTATTTTTTTTTTTTTTTTTTTTTTTTTTTTTTTTTAATTTAAAAATTTTTTTTTATCAACCGTTTGGTTCTTATAAAATTTCTTAAAATCAAGTGTAATATACAATCTAAACTATTTTTTTTTTTTATTAATCATTAATTTACAAAGATTAGAAACAGAATGACTAAGGAAGCCTATTTCAAGACGATCACTTTTGTGTCTCACATGAAAGGCTTTAACAAAAAAGACTGCAATCTAAGAAACGTAGGCGTAAAGGGAGCGATTAATTAAATGGCTCCTTTTGCTCGGAAACTAAATTTTGCGCAAATGGAGATAAATATTTTATTTATATAGATTAAAACGACTCAAATTTGCTAACTTAAGTTGACTTACCTCCATCTCTTTTACAGATGGGACAAGAAATGTATAAATGAATACACATTGATAATTATTATATGGTTTAATGGGTTAAAGTGGGTTTGATTGCACTGGAAAATTATGTATCAAGTATTTATTCTGAATACTTGTATGGGTTCTTTTTTGACAATCTTCACTTGCATTTTTCATAGAATTTTGAATATTAGAAAAAGAACACCTTACATTAAAACTTAACCAGTTTCACAATTCAGAAAGAACAGTGGTAGAAAATAGCTAGAGTTTACCAAAAATAATAATTTTGTTAAGTAAAGAGTAATACATTTAAAAGCAACCTATAGTTTGTTTCGATAGGTTTGTCTTATTGACAAGAGAAAAAAAATTAAAAATTGAATTTTTAGTTTCCTGTTTATATTAAATTAATAAACGCAGAGTTTAAATGTAAACAGTTTTTGCTTTAGTAGAAAAATCACTTCAGATTACAACAGTTGTAGAAACGCCGTCAAAAACATTTGGGAACCTTTTCCACGATATGAGAAAAATTGAAAAGTGAAGATGCTTTTTGAATATCAATATTCACATTTTGCGTTATTTTACTCTAAAGAAACTTTTCAGCATGCAAATACAAAAATTTGGATATAAAGTTTGAAATACCAAATTTTTGTTGTATTTTTTAAGCATAGCTCAATATTAAGAAAATTTAAACACTATGATCTAACCAGTAAATAACCGACTTAATTCGATGCGGCCAATAGCTGTCAGACAGACTTAATATAGAATTAAGCTTAATTCAGCTTATCGGACGCAAGATTGATTGAGATCATATATATATATATATATATATATATATATAAGCTAAAATGGGATGGGGAATAATGATTGACAGTGCATCGAATAAAAGTTGAGCCTAAACTAAAATGTGCGATATCGTTAATGCACAAAATGTATAGGATCCATTGTATTCAGTTATGAACAATCTCAAAGTCTACTTAAAAAAAATCTGCAAATTTTCAGATGTATAGTCAAAAATCTGGAAAACGTTTTCAATAGTACCGCGAGACTCAGTGATGCGTCACATGTAACCTCTGATCAAGGCCGACTTTCCGCATCTATACAGCTGCTGTAAGAAAACAGTACTGCATGTTTATTTGTTTACAATAGGCATATTAAAAAATTAAAGATTGCGTCATTTAACTATTCTATATAGTCTTTCTCTATACTGCAGTTCTTTTGTACGTACAAGTGGTGCTGAAGAGTTCTCAGCCTGACCAACTCACCAAAACCTGATTACCAGATTTGGAAAAACAACGAGTTCCTTGTTAGTACCAATAATTTCCAGCATCCCTCGTAATTCTAAAGTGAAACTGGTTCATATTAGTTATATAGAAAGAGGAAAAAAATCGTCCTTGTAAAATTCAGAAACTGCAGCAAGAGAGCCTTGGGGTGGATAAAAAAGTTGGACAGTTTCGAGTTGATAACTAGAGCTTACTCAATTATACCAAAACAAGTAGTTTGATGATACACCAAACTCGTTAAGAGGCGGTTTGACGAGTGTCCTGTATTTAAAAGAGCAAATTTGAATTCTTTCCGATTTAGTTGCAGTCTGAATCAGGAAGTATTAATTCTAGACCGCGGCACATGTCTGGGTATCAAAACGATTCAAGTCCTGTCATTAAGTAGTATTTCAATCTCTTGTAAAGATTTCCTCGATTGTTATCGAAGAGTCGCCATTTTCTTGTTTAGGTTGGAAACCAACTTATTACCACTCATCCCTCCTATCTCAGTTCACGTAATGTTTATCTTCAGTGGTAAAGCAGTATTTCAAGTAGCGATTTGTTACTTCGAAAGGTTGGTCAGTCGACTAATACAGCAAATGATTTTAAAACGATTTTACTGCTAGGATCAATTTCATAATTGAGATTAATGGTAAACAGACGTAGTGCTTTGAAATCCTTTCAGACTGAAAAGGTAACTTGAAGGAACAAGCTCTTTGAAATCTAATACAAAGTTGAGATGTTAGAGGACGGAACAAAACCTTCCAGAGTTCAATTTTGGCTGAAGTTGTCTTGGAACGAAAAGACAAAGAACGAAAAAGCCTTGTCGAAACGTAATTAAAAATATATTAATATATCGTGAGGATATTTGAATATAGTTTACGCAATATAAAAGGAAGGCAAATAAAGTCAAGTGACTGGATAAATATTGAATACAATTACACTTTTCGAAGTTTTACCCTGAACTATAACAAGTTGAGAATCTTTGATATGAAGACACTTCGGGTGGTCAAGCCCATCATCTGCCGTTAGTAGAACGCAGTCTAACCGTCCGTCTAAAGTCAGACGCGATACAGTATTACGAGACATATCGCTGGAGTAGATGTATTTTTTGTCCGCGCATACAGCTGGAGTAGTCGATTCTTCGTAAACGAATTTTAAGTCTCCCTGAGAATCTAAACATAGGAGTCTATTTTGGACAGAGTCGACTATCACAAAGTTTTTGTCGGCACTAATTACGAGAGACTTGCACCCAGTGGGATCTGGCAAGTAAACGGACGGGATTGGGACAGATTTCAAGACTTCCATTCCACAAGCATTGACTGGAGATAAAATATCGACTGACGAAGTGGACGACTCTAAACAAACGAGGAACGAGTTAGAAGTAGCTGCAACTGCTCCATAAGACTTCGTTGTTTTTTGAATGTCTCTAGTTGAGAGGTCCTTGTGGTTAATGAAGTACAGCTGACGGACATCCGGCATTGTTGCAACTATCTGACTGTCAGTCCAGGAGCAGATACCACCCACTGACGAAAGGAATTCAGTCTTGTTCAGATGAACACCGTCAAAAGAGAGTTGTCGTAAAAAAGATTTGTCGATATCCGCGAGAATTATGTAGTTGTTAAAAACTAAAGTCCGCAAACTACAGTCATCGTAGTTATTAGACAGACAGAAGCGAGAAACAAGTCTGGGTCTGTTAGCAAATAACCATTGTTGAATATTTTCACCCAGTGAAGGAAAAGGTTGGGGGTCTGGCCATCGGCCAGCTTCAAGCGAAACAGTTCCAAGGTTAAAATCAGATAAGTTTTGGACGCCACGCAAGAAGGAGATATTGGGTTGGAAATTCAGCTCCATGTTTAGTAGACTGGTGTCAAGGATTCCAATTTTGGGAAATCTCAACTTTGCGTTCTCCTTCCGCGATACTAGACAAATTTCACCGTTAGATCTTAAGGCAATGTTAATCAATTTCATGTGTTCGTTTAAACTTTTGAGTTTCGTCGCCACTTCTAAGCGAGTAAAGTTCAAGTAATCCTGTTGAGACTTGTAGAGAATGTTTAGTTCAGTTAAAACAAGCGCCTTCTTTCGTTCAAGAAAAGCGGCGACTTCTTCCACTGCTGTGGTAACTTTCCGAGTAATGTCATCTCGACACCTACCTATGTGTGTTGTCCAGTGCCACACGTTGTCACTGACGAGGGCCAGTTCTTTGGTCTTGGCTTCTAAATGAGCCAAGAGTCGGTCACTGTCCTTTCGTAAGAAACTAATCACACAGTGTTGATGGTTATCTACCATACAGGTATCGCAAACACTGGTCAGACAAGTAAGACAGAACAGAAACATTAGTTTACCTTCGTGGTCAGGACAAATAGTGGGAATGTTGCCGCTATTCGAAGACTTTGTTAGAGCATCCGAAAGTTTGTGTAATTGATGAGGAACCCTACGGTCTTTTTCGTGATCGAAAACGCATTCCCGACAAACGGCCTTCTTGCAAGGTAGACAAAACCATTCTACTGGTGTCCTGTTCGGGTCGGGACAAAGGCTGCAGACTCCATTTTCGTCTCTGTTTATAGCCTTTCGTTTTTCACTCAGATATAATCGCTTTCGGTTGATGTAGAAATTGGTTGGGAAAGCGGCAGCCCCGTTTCCGATGGTGCAGTCTTTATTAGGAGGCAGAGAAATACTTCGACATACAGGACAGTGGACGTACCAGCCGTTGGAGTTTCGCTTTGCATTGGAAGATATGTAGGCCTGCAGACATTTCTGGCAAAACGAATGAAGACATTGTAAAGCTTTGGGAGTTTCCATATAATCATCATAGCAGATTGGACAAGAATCGTACGACGACAACGAAGTAGACATGTTTGAAAGTAGCTCTTTTTTTTTTCTTTTAAGGTTTTCGTAGATTTTTTTTTCGCTGTGTAACTTAAAATTTAAAAATAAACATGGCTGCGTCAGCTCTTTATATAGGTGGTAGCTATTCATTTAGGGAAAGGTGTTTTATTATTTAAAAAACGAAAACAACATTAAAAATAGGCACTTCCGTTTCCATTATTTTTATTTTTATTTATTTTAATTGTTGATACGGGTACTTATTCTACCTGTAGTACCTCAGATGATTTTATTAGTTTCGTTGAAAATAATAACTTTAGAAGTAAACCAACTCAATCTATTTGAGTACTATTTAGAATAAAGAAAAAAATCATAGCAGCGGGTTCAAGTCTATCTGATGACCTCGCGCAAATAAATAAATATACACAGGGCCGGTACAATGGACTTATGCCCCCACCCCGAATGTGTGATACGCACACCCCACTCTACTACATTTTACTTGACTTATTCATAAGATTGTATATATATTTAATACAAATTTTATTGTAACTTAATTATGGATCATATACAATAGGTGAACAATTCAACTGGAAAAATTGAAAATAAATGCAATATTATATCTAAAAATACAAATTAGAGATATGTCATCATAATAGATCATTCCATCTTAGATAAATCAACAATATTTTGCGGCAATTTTTAACATCAACTTGAGATTTTTCTTAAAAAGTTGAATAACTTAATACATTCAACATTATGGATGAAAAATAGTGGATTTTATATTGTTTTTTTTTTTTTTTTTTTTTTGAGACTTAGCGTGAGCAAGACAAATTTACGAATTTGGACGAAAAAACAAACAAACCCTAGAGAATGACGTCAAAATCTGCGTACCCTGTGTTTTGTCTTTGTCTCTCTCTCTCTCTCTCTCTCTCTCTATATATATATATATATATATATATATATATATATATATATATATATAAAGAAAATCAATGACTTTGGAAAATTTTATTCGTGTGACGCGTTGCATCCCTTAGGACTTCAGCGGACTAAAGTGATGTTTACGTTGCTGTAACTACACATGTGCACAAAGGAGAGGGAACGCTGAAATATTAATCAAGATATGTGTTTAGTTATATAGTCTAGCCAATTTCATTTAGTTTGTTTTTCTTTTCTTTTGTTTTCTATCACTTTTCTTATTAAGTATCCCATATTGTGATAATAGATAATCTACCAAGAAGGGTGAAATGTAAGTACCTGTTATATATATATATATATATATATATATATATATATATATATATATATATATATATATATATATATATTTTCACGCACACACACATAGGTATAGATATATGTTATTTTTTAATCAATTCACCCCAAGCAAGTTGATAAAGCCACTAAGACGCAAGTGGCTACTGAGAGTGAAACAGAATGAAAAGACTTCAGAAAGAACTAGAAACCCAATCCTAAGCAGGAAACAAGGGATAAACTTATCATCATTAGTCCTTGACGGCTTCGATAATGAGTGTGTGTGTGTGTGTGTGTGGTGGGGGGTGCTAAGGACCGAAGAAACAGATAACCTCCTTCAGGATGATCTGTTGGCGTTGACTTTCAGGTGTTCCGGCATTGTCATGTCCAGTCTTTGATGTTATCTGACCAGCTTTGTGTTGTGTTGTCGTTTCCGCTTGCAGACGCTGTCATGACACCTTCCGACCCTTAATAACGGCGAAGAGAGTAGAGTTTGAACTTTGTATGGAAACTGATGTTGCTCTTCCTAATCCTTTCTAGCCTGGCCATTGCTGCTGTGGTTGAGGCGATCCATATGCGGATTTCTGCGTTGCAAGTGCCAACTTTTGACAAGCTTGCTCCCAATTATTTGAAGCTGGACACTTCCTCCAGTGGTTTGCCGTCAGTGGTGACGCTGGCACTTGTGTTGTTTGTACTATTCACCATTAGTTTCGATTTCTCTGTGGTGACTCCCATTCCATATAAACCTCTACTCCTGTTCAAAAGACCGGGGCAGGGGATAATGTATAGTTCTGCTGAATGAATAGTTTCTTAGTTACATTGTTCGGACTGTTGTACTCATTTTCGTTGCCATATTCACGACGTTTCTGCCGTTGTACGCTTCAGCTTCAGGTGATTGAAGATTCGAACCGAACCCTTTATTTCGTCCACCGGGGTAGATTGTTCCAGTTCCACGTGCTATGCCTCTTCCGGATGTCTCAGTTATTTCCCTTTAACTCAACTCTCCAAGTTTTGGTTCATCACTGCTGTAGCCTGGTATTGAACTCACAACTCCAAAACTTGGAGTGTTGAGTTAAAGGGAAATAACTGAGACATTCAGAAGAGGCAAGGCACGTGGAACTAGAACAATCTATCCCGGTTTACGAAATAAAGGGTTCGGTTCGAAATTCCAATCACCTGAAGAAGGCCGGAGCGTACAACGGCCGAAACGTTGTGAATATAGCAATGAAGATGAGGATAACAGTTCGAATAATGTAAATAATGCAAGTAATCATAATGCCTCATCTCAGAGATATAGACAGACACTCATCTCAAAAATATAGACGAATAGGTTCTTGTTTACAGTAATTTTGACAGAATTTTTTTATGCTTTTTTCGTAACTGTTCCATGCTTTATTTTCATTACTGTTTATGTAACTTCCAGCTCTTATGCGGCGATAAGTTCTATAGTCCAACCCTTTTTAATCACACTAAAATTTCATCAGTTGTCTTGAGTCCAACAATATTAAGATAGGTATCTATTGCCCGTACTTTTCTGTCATAATTGCGAACTGAATTTCTTTATATTTTCCAACTAAACACATTCAATTCATTCACATAATTACATTCTTTTCATTTGTTTTTATTCTCGCATTTTTTTTAATTCAAATTCAGTTGTTTTTTAGAAGAAATTCTGCCGTCCAGGTTTTTTATATTAAAAATCCGAACGACCGAATTCCAAACAATAATAAATTAAAAAAAAAACAAAACAAAAAAAAAACATGTTCTCATGCTTGCTCAGTAAATCATTTGTATTTACAAACATTGTACATGAATTCAAAAGAGTCAAAAAGGAGTCCAAGTTTTTCGGTAGTTGGTTCACAAAAAATAATATGAAGTTTAGCGAAGATTAACTGACTGTCCGTGCTGTTGCTGTTGCTGTTGGATATGATTCATTTAATGTTGTGGACATATGTTTCTTTCATTACGTGCTGAGGCGAGAGGAAGCAATGTAGCCACATCTTCTCTTGTGTTTGAACGACTAGGAGACAGTCGCATCTCTGCTCCTGAAAGTCGGAATCTGTGGGTTTTTATGAGAAATTTTTCCGGAAAGTAGGCTCGAGAAAAATAGGGTTTTAGTTTTCTCAAATATTTCACATTGTGATATTAATTTCTAACCAATAGACACGTTGATTTGAACGGTGTGTGTTGCATTGTGGAATCTTTTTCGCATGTTTGTAATAGTGTTTGTTATTAGGTAAAAAATAAAATTTGGACGTGTTTTAATATGGTATGCATGTGGGTATGTATTGGAAATAGAGTTTAATTCCTATAGTACCTCTGACCAGATATGATTCGTTCAAAAATGACTTCGGTATTGATTCAGGTTCAGACATTTTGGTAAGAATAAATGTAAATTTAACTGAATAGTTTGTAGGGTCAGTCTACCCGGATTAAAAGTGAAAAATTAAAATCTGAGTGTCGTGCTCACAAATGTAACAAAATGCGAAGAAATTATTTTTTTACATAGGCAAAAAGGAAAAATAACCATATATTTATGTACACATTAACATTTGTTTTTACATTGTAAACATTGTGTTTGGTCTGGTCGTAAAAAATCATAGTTCAAAGGGTCAAATGTTCGACAAAATTTTCCATTTGTTTAAAGGGTAGTTCGTAAAGTCATAGGCTTTGGTCAATATAAAGCGTGGATATATGTGCGTGTGTCTGAAGCACATTTTAACGGAGTGTATGCGTAGCTGCTGACTGAATGTGTGTGCGTGTGGTGAAACACATTAGTAGAAACGTATGTGTGTGTGAGTGCTAATACGTGACATCTGATTACGGTGGTTCCAAAAGGAAATGGGTATACAGATGGGTGATAAGACTTACTTTTTCCACAGTTATGAATATTTCTTTGAGTTGTGTGAATATTCCTTTGAATGGTGTGTAGTCGTCGGTGACTGAGGTGTTGTCATAGTAACGATAGAATTCTGGTCGGGTGTTTATAGATTTAAACGCTTGTCATCTACAGGTGATCCACGTCCAGTTCCTGACTGCGTTTTTTGCTGTGTCTTTTTATTGCCCCCCAAAAAAAATCGGTGTATATATAGTTATCCTGATCACGTGATTGGCTCCAAAGGAAAGCTTTTCGGTTTACGCGGGATAGCATCCACCGACCATCTTATTTGGAGTTCAAACGTACAGACGTAATCAGAAACATAGCACATGACTGTACTGTCCAATCAAATTCCAGAAACCACTTATTTAATTTTGGATCTTTTTTTTTATTACTGATTTCTACAAAAGTTTTTGTTTTAGTGATTCTGATCCTATTTATGCGTGGGCTCTTACTTATTTATGCTAACCTATTGATTTTAAAATATAGGATTTTATATCCTATAAGTTCTCTAAAAAAACATTTTTCTGATACGGCTGGGTTTTGAAGGATTTTGGTTAGCACATTAGCTTGTCACCAAAACTTCCTTGGGAAATGAGAAGTGAGGTAGGGAAGATTCAATTGTATTGAATTTACTAAATATTACTAGGTTTATTTTTTATTCAATTCCCATCGATGCTTTCCTAACAAGCATTTTATAAGTTCTGGTTACTATTTTTAAACTGAAACTTCTATCAGGTTCCAATCTGGTTAACTAATCTTCTATATTTTTCCCACCTAGTATCATTAGTTTTTAACTTAAATTTCTTAACTCTCTCAATACCTCAAGTGCTTAAACGATATTTCATGCATTATTATAACTCCAGCTAGGCCAATGCCCTGTTATATTTCTGACCTCTCTTTTTTTCCATGATAAAATTTGGTCGTTTTAATGAGTAAAACAAAGCCGTAGTGACCCATTTTAATGGCTTTCAGATGATTTTATCAAACACCGATATTTCTGTATTTGATTTATTCGTAAAACGAAAAGATTTAAGGAGAAATGATGCACGTTCCTATCGTCAAATTACAAACTGAGAAACCTAAGCCGAACGTTTCTTGAATTCTCAAATTACATATTCAAAACTTTTCTGTCGACAAGAAAGATGATGGATAGAAAATAACCTAAAGAGGTCATTGTGCGACAGATATCATATTGCAAAAATTCTAATTTCAAAAATTTGGGGCGTAATTTTCATATGATTTTATTTTTAAATTTGTTGGGAATTAGTAAAATGTATGGAACGATTTTTGGAAGTACTCGAAACTCCAAAGATTTTTTTTATTAACACTTTGATCTTCGATCCCCCAGCACTACATGATGTGTTTTTAGTATTTACTTTTTCTGAAGATCTGAAATGAAAAATTGTCATTGATGTATGGATTATTAAGACTAATAACCTCATTTTTTTTTTAATCCTTTAACCCCAAGCGAGGCAATAAAGCCACTAAGGCGCAAGTTAGGGCGGAGGGAGAGTTATTGAGAGCGAAGGAAACTGAGAAAAGGTTACTAAGGAGAAATCCCTTTCTGTGCCAATTTACCATTCCTACGATTTAAGTATTCACATGTGTCGAAACAGTTCGCAACATTATGTACATATGAATTATATTTGAATCCTACCAAACAGAGAATATTTTTATCCGAGAGATACCGTTCAAGTTGAGATGATGAAGGCTGTTCGCACATCGAGCGACACTATTCTTTGTTTTAGCTTCTCGTAATAAATCTGCTTTCTATTGTAAATGACTATATTTTCCCTCCAATGGATACCGTTTAGGTTGAGATGTTGCAGACTATCCGAGATTTAACAACAATTTTCTTAAGCAGTGAACTGTTATACAATATCGGTCCTCCTATATGGCATTGGATACTGGACAATCTCATCACAGATGAAGAGACTTGAGGCAACAGAGATGTGGATGATGAAACTATTGTAACTGGAGATAGCTAGCTATTCTCCCATTTGTATTTCCCCCGTTATGGGCATTACTACATCCATAATATAATAACACTGTATTTCACGGACAAAACGGAATGACTGAAAGGGAAAGGAATGACAAACATGCTTTGTTCTCAGAGACACTTTCATATTACTAAGTCATATACAGAACTATATATATATATATATATATATATATATATATATATATATATATATATATATATATATATATATATAATCAGCTTCTGATAAGCAGGTCATTTAAAAGGACACTTGCGTTTCAAAGACAAACTCAAATACGATCTGCAGCGATGAAGCATTGTCTTTTCTTCCTGGGAAAAGAAAGCGTCAGAGAGAAGAAGCTGGCACCTGTCCTGCTCCTCATTTATACAAAGGTTTGAGCAAGGCCGACCTTGAACATCAAGATCAACCGATTACAGAAAGTTGGCAGTATGCTGCACCTCTCAATGACAGCCTTAACTGTGGTTTTGTCGCACACAGTAAAGCAGGCCTTGCTGCCCACTCGTGGAAACGTGTGGCAATTGATTCTCAACCACTCTAGTAAAATGGCTCAACTACATTCCACATGTCTAAAAATTTGCAAAACATCAACAGGCCTTGCGGGGCACATGTGTGTCCATAAAAATTGATCACCTCTTTATTTTACTGACCCCTTATGTGTCGCTCACAACGAGAGAGTCAACCATATATATATATATATATATATATATATATATATATATATATATATATATGATGAACACTACAATATTTTTTTGAAAAAAAAACAACAAAAAAAAACACACCCTGATGATGACATTGAGCTAATGTCGAAAGTACTCGGAATAAATAATATATATTAACACGGTATTTTTCTCTCTTCCTTTAATAATGAACCCAAAAAGCTTGTCCGTGAATATGAAAGGATCCAATTGAAAATATGTAGACAAAACTTGTCTAAATTATTCAAGGAAACATATCTTAATGAAAACATGCTGCCAAAATATACGCAATATATATATAATATATATATATATATATATATATATATATATATATGTATGGGATAATGATATATATTTTTATATATCAAGAACAGTATTAGGGAAATTTGAAAAAGTTTACTTGTTACTTTTGTCCTTTATGCAGGTCAGTCACCAAGACTGGGCCAGTAGGGCCTTACTCCCCAACTCTTAGGAAATTATTCGCACCCCTACCGCGTGAATGTGATATGAGAAAATGCAATTCTGATCTATTATGCAACTCAGTCGAAGCTGTTTTCCAGTTATCGATCGCTGTATTGTTGGCCAAAGTTCTTCAGAGCAAGTGATTTTTGTGTTTTTGCAATGTTGTAATAAAATGAACCCCGGCTTTAAGAATAGATCAAGAATACTCTCCATGGGTTAAATCTTTTTAAACAGTAAAAAAAAAAAAAAAAAATTCATGGAACAAAACAAAAAAAAGAAATTAACTGCGCCAGTAAAATTTTGCTTCCTATATTTTTCCACGGTGAAAATTTTCTTTTTTCAAATATCATAATAGTAATTTTTTTCACTAAAAGTATTTTATTACTTGAAACCAAAAAAAAACAAAAAAACAGTAAATTGTTTTTTTTTTATTTTTTAAAAATTCATAATCAATGTGACAACGTTTTCTAGAATTAACTTTTTAAAAGTTATGGTTGTTCTATTTAAAAAAAAAAATTGATGATCAGCAACAACAAAATAAAGTTTTTCAAAAATCATTTTTAACTCTTCACGAGTCACCATTTACAAACGGATGACATTCGCTTCACAGCTGTCGCATGTCTGTCGTCAACAACTAGTAGTAATAATACAAATATTCCCTCATACAACAACCAATTTGACCTTTGACTTGTACTGACACATGCTCATCATGTTATAAAAATTTAAAAATATATTTTTTAATGTTTCGTAAATAAAATTTGATAAATTTGGGGTGTAGTTAATTATCGAGTAATTTATTAAATTATTAATTAAAGTAACCATTATTGTCTTGATGTTTTCCTTTTTTTTTAATCATTCCGCCCCCAACCAAGGCAACAAAGCCACTAAGACACAAGGAATTACTCTGAGTGATGATGACACGGTTATTTCCAATTTAATAGATTTTTTTTATTTGCAATATCGAGTTCTCTGTCAATCAACGCCATAAATGTTTTTTTTTTTGCTGATTAAAGTTAACTTTTGACTTTGTAGTCATAGCTTTAAAAAACCTTTAATTAAGAGTTGTTTGTTTTCTTTGAAAGATGTAAATTTAGCCACTTTTATGCTTGTTGTAAAAGTAAAAAAAAAAAAATTATGAGTGCGACAAGACATTTTGTTGCATTGAAATACCTATATCTGGGAAGGAACCTGTCAAAAACCCACTTAGATGCCAATTTCTGGGAGGATGGGGTCATGAAATTGCTTTCAAAATAGCGAAAGGAAGTGGAATAAAATAGCACATATGTGGTTGAATAAATCATCAAAAGATTGTCTTAAAAATTCACTTAAAAACTGATTTTTTTTTTTTTTTTTCTTTGCTACGACCCAATATGTTGTGTCATTTAAGCGTTTACTTCCTTCCACTGACACCGTCTAATGGCTATACGTATCACGTGGGGCTTTAACGAAGACAAGTATCGGCCACGTGACCGGTGTTAAAATAAGGGCAGTTAAGCGAGTTTCGGTTTTGATTGACAGACGAAGTGGACTTGGTTATTGACTGACAAGTCGGTGGAAGCCACGTCCACATATCTGAAGTGTAAACAGTCTTCTCGGTTTATTTACTTAGCTACCTGGAACTACTAGTGTTATTAACACAATCTGTAACAAACAAAAGATCTACAAAGTGACCGGGATAAAAAGAAAAGGACGTGTTATTAACGAAGTAGGATTTTTTTCATGGGTACCCAGTCGATTTTAGAAACGAATCCTTAAGGTTTATTAGAAAAAAAATTCTTACGTTTACTTTATGGTAAAAAAAGAAAAACAAAAAAATAATCGCTGTCAAAAATGAATATATTTACTGCCAGTGAAAGTGGTACCGCTTTTAGAGATCGTGGCAGCTGGAGACTTCAGGGTATGGCCTTAAAATACGTTTGGTGTTTGTTGCTGTTAGTATTTTTATGTGTTTTAATGCCGTTGGCTGCCGGGCACGGCCATCATCACCACGGACATGGACATGCTCACGAACATCACCACCATCATCATGAACCTGCTCATCACCATCACCACCAAGAGGATTCACGTGAATCTCCAAGTTTTAAATACAGCCGGAAAGCGAACGAAATTCCTGAAGACGATGAAGCTGAGGACTTAATTAATGAAGACCTTCAATACCATCCTCACGAAGACGGACACCATGCAGAAGAAACCCACCACCACCACCATCATCATCACCATCACGCAGAAGAGCCCCACCACCATCATCACCATCATGCAGAAGAACCCCGCCATCGTCACAATCACAATGGTCATGAAGCTAAACCTGAACAGAGAGCAGAAACAACGCAGAAGAAAGAATTTACCAAAACAAAAAATCCTATGCTTTGGATCGAAGCATTGGGGGCCACGTTTCTTATAAGTGCCGCCCCCGTAATGATCCTGTTCTTTATTCCTTTAGACCACACCGAAGAACATTCGCCTTTGCTTAAGGTTCTACTTAGTTTCGCTTCAGGTGGTCTCTTAGGGGATGCTTTCCTTCACCTTATCCCCCATGCCGTGAACCCACATTCGCATAATGAGGGTGACCACCAGCACGGACACTCTCACGGCGGACACGACGAAGAAGGGGGTCACAGTCATGGCCATGATCTTTCGGTCGGACTCTGGGTCCTTACTGGCATCATTGTGTTCCTAACCGTTGAAAAGGTGGTTCGGTTCTTAAAGGCCGGACACGGTCACTCGCACTCTCATTTACACTCTCATTCTGAACCTGACCCTTCTTCATCGCAAAAAAAAGAAAATGTAGCAAAAGAAGAAGAGACGAAGAAAAAGAAAGAAAATAAAGAAGACTACGACGAAGGGAACAAGGAATTGGAAAAAAAAATCTCGGAAGTTGACGAAGATAAAAATGCCGACATCGGCGAAAATGTGAAAAAGGGTAAGTATTTTAAATTAATTAAATTACATTACATTGAAAAGGAAATTTGATTTCACGTCTAAAGTGTAAACGGAGGTGGAGTTCTAGAATAGGCACTGCACCCAGAAATAATTATTTCTTCAATTTCTTTTGTTTTTGGGGAATTCACAAGTAAGAATTTCCAACACTGCAAACTGACCTTTCCCCACACTTTAAAAAATTAATTTTTTTTTATGAATTCATATGTGGTGCTTAGCTTACATTTTAATCGATAGTAAAATAAGGTTTGAAAAAATAATTATTAAAAATATTTTCGCAACTATTTGGAAACTAAGAGTAAGGAAATCATCTCTATGATGAGCATTTTTTGTGAAGATTCTATGAATTTAGAAAACTGGGCCACCTAACTTAAAAAAAAAAATTAAATCGACATTCAAATGATCTGAAGTGCTTTTTAATTTAATGTTAAAATTCATAAATATTTTTGGTCGTAGTTCCTAAAACTCTCTAGAATGTCTTTTGTGTAAAGTTGAAGCAAGTTTACTTTTTTGATCATTTTGAATTTTGATTAAGCAAAAAATAAAAAAAATGTACAAATTTATGGATATCAGATCGACCCTATTTTGTTAAATTTGCCCCCATTTTTGTTAAAACTGTTAACACAAAATATAAAATAAAAAAAATTGGGTAACAATCCGTAACATGATTTTTTTTACTTTTTTTCACTTATTGACTGGGTCAAGAATGTGGACGTTTCTAAGTCACAAATTACTTTTTTTCGAAGGCTTTTTAGGTTTTAAATCCGTAAAAATAAAGGGAATGATTAACTTAGTTCCCTTTTTCACGGTTTTTTTTTCTTTTTAAGTGAAAAAATCGAAAGATTTTCGTTTTTTGTTTTCATTGACAAAAAACAAAACAAGCAACAGGTGCAATAGGTCTATTTCTTTAAATTTTTAACGAACATGTAAGATTTCTAGGTTCTTTATTTTTCTTCTAAAATAAATGTTTTAGTTTAGTCGGCTATCATGGAAATCAGGAAAATAATTCATAGTTACCCGTAGCTTCCTTGATGGCAAGACGATCAAATTTAAAATCTAAACTCTTTGTTCTTTTATTCAAAAAATATATAGAATGTTACCCACATGTTGGACATAGCGACACGGACATTCATTTCAATTTAATTTTGTGTGTGTGTGCGTTTGCAAGTGCGTATGTTTAAAAAATTAACAGGATTTTCCCAGAGAAATTAGTCATGCCATTTTTACCAGAGTTCACTTTTGGGACTATTATGATTTTTTTTTTGTTTTAAATTTAGCCTAAATTCACTTTATCGTCGAAAGTAATAAAAACTGAACATTTGTCGTGTAGCCATCTCTATGCTGTCAGGTTCTAGATACAATACACATAGATAGGAACAGCTTGATATAAAAAACTGATATTGATGAATGGAGTGAACTAATTATCGATAAGAAGATAGATAAAAGTTCTCTTACTGTAAGAGAGAAAAACTGATTGTGTTTTGTTTTGTTTTTAATTTAAAATTTTTATTTATTTCCCAGCCAAATAACACATGAAAGCAAAGAGTTTGACAGTTAAACTGTTTTTTTCTTATCTCCAAATTTGATGATATTTCTCAGCTCAGGGTAGGAGTTGTCTAGACTGGGTGGGAAGGGAATGCATTATTCCAATGTCTTATTTAGTCAAATTGTGTGTGCGCACATAAAATGGCACAAGTCCCTCATGCATAACATAGACATACATACATTATTAAATACTTGCAGGCAAAGTTATAGGCAGACAGTGTGTGATGATAGAGTATCAGCTGTTCTTTTATTTATGATATAGAGTTAAAAATGTGAATGTGAATAGGGACAAATAAATTATCTACATAAAATTTCTGCCTTTCAGCAGAACCATAAAACAAACTGATTACTTGCTCTGCTTAGTGGTTTAACCCCACCTCTTAAAAATGAGGAGAAAGAGACCACCTTTCAATTAAATGCATACAGACCTCAAATGTAAATGACCAATATTTACACATCCACAAACTAAATAAATGCTTATTGACTTTAAATATATAAAAAACTGATTTTGATATTAAGTAACCAAATAAGGGTTGACAGGTAAAAGTAAAATTAACCAAATAAAATAAAGGTGGTGGCACCTGTTGATTGTTTTATTATAAAGAAATTAAAATAAGACTGTTAAGAGTGAGATTAAATTTCATAAGAAAGGTATCTAATTAATTTATAGGTACCTTTCTTATGAAATTTTATCAGAAGTGTACATAAAATACTATAATTTTATGTACAGTTCCTACATTTTACTGTGTTATTTGTATTTCCATTCATTTTATTATTAATTTTAATATTTCATTTATGGAAAAAATGCCATAACTGAGATTAATATAAAAATAAGATCATATAAATTTCATAAGATGATACTGATACTTTTAGGTACCCTTCTCAGTTGAAATTGAAAAATCAAATAAACTTCTCCACACATGTTTCGCAAAAGTAAAGGCCTTAACAGCGAAAAACAATGCTTAACTCAAGTAACGCAACTTAATTGTATTCTGGTTGGTCTTCCGTACTTTATAATTACAGCCCAATTATAAACACAAAATTATATTTCTTAATTACTGTGGGTCTTCTGATTAGTCAAAACAATACAATTTACAACGTGCTAAAAAAAAAATCTATCTCATAAGGACACTTACGAAAGTGAATGTGGCTTTTAAGTAATTTTAAAATATTTTAACAACTTAAATGTAAAAATCTATTATAATTAAAAAATAACAAATAATTGTGTCAAAAATTCATTTTTCATTGAAAAATTTTTTTGCTTTCAGAAAATATTGTCCATATTCATAAAAACAACTAAAAGCAAATAAAAGCATTTGAAGTTAAATAATATATTTGTTTTATTGAGTTTTGTATGTTACAATTCAGAGTTGATTTTCAGGTAGTGGGGTTCAATTAAAAACAAAAAAAAACATTCCTCAAAGCCTTGTGTAATTACTAAAGTGGACTCGATCGAATTTTTAGAGTTTTCATAAAATTAGTTATAGTGGGGGTGTAATAAATATAAAAAAAAATATTTCTGCCATGACTTAAAAAAAGAAAACATATTTATAATAATTTCGATCATCTGTGAATAGTTTCTGAAAGTTTCATTAACATCTGACAATTATTTTTATTTTTGCAAGATTTTCCAAATTAATGTGTGTCATACAAAAAAACGTGCTAAAAATTGTATGTTATTTTACAAGTTCCGGTGATACAAAGAGAAACAAGGATTTTTAAATGAAAATTCAGATTGTTCTAAAAACAAGGAAAAATTTTTAAAAATAATTAAAATAAACTTTGATCTTTCCTCTTAATAATAACATAAACATTTAGACAATAAAATTTTGTTTTTGTCAAGTTTGTCGTCTTTTTCACCATGATATGCTCTTTTTTTAACGATCTCATGGAGGTACCTATTAGATACCTCCAAAGAAAAATGATAGCTAAGGTTTAAAATGTTTTTTTAAAAATGAAAAATCTTTCTTGACACTTTTATTTTAGTTTTGATTTCAAGCTAATGAATAAAATTCAATATTTGCAATAAGCAAAATACTTTGCTGTATTTCAAACTGAATTTAAATTGATTGGAATGATTTTTGTATAAGTGCAGTATTCCCCAGATCTCTAATGTTTCTAATTTTCATAAATGACCTTCCTGATGTCTTCAGTTTTCAACTTGGTATTTATACTGGTAACACAACTATCTACTCCTGTCTTAATAGTAAATCTGATTGGTTCTATAAAATCAAATTGGTAGCTGATCTCAAAAATGACCTACAATCAGTTGTTAAATGGGGCAAGGAGTAGCTTGTTAATTTTACTGCTTCAAAAACAAAACTGATCTCTTTTAATCATCTGAAAGAACCCTTTTTACCTTCCATCAGCATGGCTAATGCTAGCAAACAGGAGAATGACTCATTGTACCTTCTCGGACTAATATTAGAAAGAGTATATTGAATCAATTTCTAAGTCTGCAGCTAAGAAAATTGGTTCGCTATCTTATATCTTACATATTTATAAGTCTACCATTCATTCTTGCTTTGAATATTGCTGCCACATGTGGTCTGATGCTTCTGCTATATATTTAGAGGTTCTTGATAGAATCCGAAGAATAATCTGCAATGTTATTGGACCTGACGTGGCATCTCAGCTTCAGTCCCTTTTCCACCACTGTAACATAGCTTATCTGTGCCTTTTCTATAAATACTTTCATGGTAATTGTTCTGATGAACTATTTATTATGGTATTTAGACTTTATGAATTTAAGCTCATTGCTAGACTCATCCAAGGTCTCCTCATTTTACAGTTGAAATGGCTAGAAGTAACCATAAGTTCTGTTAACAGTTTCATCTATTCCACTTGTGGAACTCTTTTTTGACTTGCTTCCCAATCAATTTGATCTTCAAAAATTTAAATGCAACGTCAATTGTTATCTTTGTTCTTTTATTATCCTGTCTCCTTAATAGCAGATTTTCTCATTCTCTAACATTCAATAACCCCTTACATCCTAGTGGCTTTATTGTCTTGCTTGGGGGATGAAATGATAAAAAAACAATATAATTTTTTTTCATTTTTTTTTATTTTAGGATTCAGAACAGATTTCCTGGAACTGGGGATTTTGTTTGACTAAAAAAAAATTTCATGATTTAAATTCTTTGAGGATTTGCACTTTATAATTAATATAAATATTTAAGCGCTACAAAAAGGAATTTTTGGGGAATTTCATAAAATTAAATAAATAGAGGTGGATAACAGATGTATGTATGTATATGTGTGTGTGTGTATATATATATATATATATATATATACACACACATACAAAGATATTCTAAAAAAAGAGACATTTCAAAAATGATTTTTATTCATTTGTAAATAAGACCTATTTTGCATACTAATTTATGGTACAACCCTGATATAGAAGAAACAAGTTTTTTAGCCAAAATTTTGAAGGCT